CGGAGATCGTGCGTGTCGAGTGCGCGAAATGCAGGCGAGAGTGCGATGTGCCGGCTGTGCGCGCAACCCTCTGCGGAGATCGTGCGTGTCGAGTGCGCGAAATGCAGGCGAGAGTGCGATTGGTGCGGTCCGCGCGCAACCCTCTGCGGAGATCGTGCGTGTCGAGCGCACGAAAGCAATCTGTGGAGCTGGAAGCTGAGAACTGGCGACTTTGTAGTACAACTTTAGTACGCGGAGCAATCTGTGGAGCTGAGAACTGGCGACTTTGTAGTACAACTTTAGTACGCAGAGTATCTGGAGAGCTGGAAGCTGAGAACTGGCGACTTTCTAGTACAACTTTAGTACGCGGAGCAATCTGTGGAGCTGGGAGCTGAGAACTGGCGACTTTGTAGTACAACTTTAGTACGCAGAGTATCTGGAGAGCTGGAAGATGAGCACTGGCGACTTTGTAGTACAACTTTAGTACGCGGAGTAGCTGGGGAGCTGGAAGCTGAGAACTGGCGACTTTCTAGTACAACTTTAGTACGCGGAGAAATCTGTGGAGCTGGGAGCTGAGAACTGGCGACTTTGTAGTACAACTTTAGTACGCGGAGTAGCCGGGGAGCTGGAAGCTGAGAACTGGCGACTTTCTAGTACAACTTTAGTACGCGGAGCAATCTGTGGAGCTGGAAGCTGAGAACTGGCGACTTTGTAGTACAACTTTAGTACGCGGAGTAGCTGTGGAGCTGGAAGCTGAGAACTGGTGACTTGGTAGTACAACTTTAGTACGCGGAGCCATCTGTGGAGCTGGAAGCTGAGAACTGAGAACTGGCGACTTTGTAGTGCAACTTTAGTACGCGGAGTAGCTGGGGAGCTGGAAGCTGAGAACTGGCAACTTTCTAGTACAACTTGAGTACGCGGAGCAATCTGTGGAGCTGGGAGCTGAGAACTGGCATAGACACACACAGACAGAGACTCATACACACACACAGACATAGATACACACACACACAGAGACCCACACACTGCCTCAACTCACTCGACTTAACACTTCACACTGAACACGCTGGCTGCCATCATAGTTGAAGTGGGTAAGCCAGCACGCTGGCTGCCATTGTCCAGATGGCAAAGCCAGCACGCTGGCTGCCATCATAGTTG